GACTTAGTTTTGCTTCATACACACAATCCACAAACTAGTGTGTGTTAATGAATCAGGTTTTAAGATAGAAATTAAACAAGACCTGAAAGCATTAATAGGGTGGGGACGCAGAAACAGTCTCAGTGGCAACTTGAGCTTATTGCCAACATGTTCATGTATAGCAGGTATTTGTTTACCATGTGCATCATTTTAGTTTGGTGTGTTAGCATGCTAGCATTTGAAAATTAACAGTCAAGGCAGGTGTGAATGTCATTAGTATTGCAGGTATTTGGTCACAATCCAAACTAAAAGACAAACTGGAAGTTATTACAATTCATCCTGAGAAGGACATTAACATCTGAACTAAATTTCATCCCAATTGATTCATATTCTGACTGATAATCCCATTAGACCAAAAGTTAGGAAATCACCCAGACTATGAAGGTTCATTTTCTTTACTTATTTATTAATATTCCCATTATGACCAGCTTAAACATAGGCTTTTCTTCCTAGATATCTCAGCTAAATTTAATAGCAATCCATGTTGAGATGCTTCGGTCTGGACCAAAGAGGTGAGAGGACCAACACAGCTAGCACAGCTAAAGTCGAAAACAACTCGAGTGAAAACATCTCCAGTTTAGGTGATTATGTTTTCAACACTGTGGAGATCATTTCAAAGTAAAAGGACAAGACAGAGTAAAACAAGGGATGACAGGAAAAAGAAAGGAAAGAAAGGAGCAAACACAGAGAGAGACATCCTCACCTGTCCTCAATGACGTCCGTGCAGGACGCGACTACGATACATCCGGCTGCTGAGGCCATGACAGCTTGAATGGACGACACCAGACTGAGAGAATGAAAACAATCAAATCTAACAATTGTGAGATCATACTGAAAGTGCCTGTGCTGTTTTTAAAAGCGCAGAATCCATAACTCCTTTATTTGAACTTTAACAAGGTACAAGTCAGGTTGGGAGGCCCTGTATTTAGGATAACATCTGGATGAATCCTCATGAAACCAGCAAAATACCCACATTTGTTAAAAAACACAAACTCTCACATTTCAGTCAGAATAAACTAGTTTCAGATCCCAGCATCACCGCAACAGCAGCGGCTTATTTAGTAGCAGGAGTGCAGACAAAACAGCTGTAAAATTCTGTAACACTTTATAACACAGCCCATGGTTTACAGGCTGATGTCACTGTAGAAATGAGGTAAATAAAATACTAACCACAAACGGTATGCAAATATAGTGCAAAACAAGCCAATGGAGAACAGAGGAGTAACAAGTGGCTATTTTTTTCCAGTATCACTTAGACCAAGTCTGATTCTGCCCAGGTCTTGATCATCAAAGTGTTCAGCAGCATCTTAATTTAGGTGTGTCATTCTCAGGCTTCTGCAAAAATGAAAATTCTTGTGAAGGGCCCAGTGTGTATTTGTATTAACTCACAAGAGAAAAAGAATCTGTTCAAAAAGTCATATTATGGAGGCTTACATCACATTTAGGGACAAAAAGCGTGTCATTACAAGGTATTGTGTTAAATGGTTTACACTTTTTATTGTCCAGCAGAAAAAGAGTGTGTGTGTGTGTGTGTGTGTGTGTGTGTGTGTGTGTATTCTTACCGTGTAGATATGACGGCAGCATCCCCCTCGCTCCACCCCATCATATGTTTCAGAGTCCGTTTGGACAGCAGGAAGAGACCAGGGAAGAAGACAGAGCCGGCAGCCATGATGAGGGCCCACATGGCCCCTGGGATCACCTATATGTGTTTGGTGTGAGAACACGTGGTGTGTAGATGTGGTTTTATGCTCTCTCTCACACACTCTGTCAATGAACTGCAGCGTTAAATGAGGACAGGTTTGTAGGAACTCAGAGCAGAGGATCAGGAGGGCGGAGCCTGCTGCCACCTGTCCAAGGACAAGGGGAGGGGCCTACTCAAAACCTGTATTAAAGTATCAATATGGACACTCACTGTGTCACCTACATTCATCCAAGTGAAATTTTGGACTTAGTGAAATATCAGAGTAACAACATGAATCACACCAAACAAGAAGCACTTCATGGTAAATAAATCTGAATTCTTTGAGCCAAACAGGTGACACACAAAGCAGCAGTGATGCAAATATTGCAGCACGACAATGTGTTCACGTGGACAGATGGATCCTTTCTTTCTTTGATATGCATCCTACTATGACGCAACAAAGGCAAACACACATCCTGGGAGACAAAAGATCATTGGTCATGATGAGTAACATCAGGCGAAGCAGTATGCATCATGCACAATGTATGCACCATGCACAATATGGCAGTTTGAACCAAATATCAAGAATCTAAACAACAACACAGCTACATCAATTTTGTTTGCAATACAATTTCTATGCATCTTCATTGCCTGCACCGGCCTCTGTGGTACCAATACCTACTTTATGTAAGAAAGTTTTCCTGTTTCAGTCGGTTTCCAATTGGTTCATCACTTTGTATATATCATTAGACTGCTGTCAATTTTAAATATTAAACTTTGTCTTAAGCTTTGAACAGTGAGTTTCTCAAATCTTTTCTAACTAACTTTTTAACAATGTAAACTGACCGTGCATGTTGAAATGATCCCTACACATCATTTCAGCAGCTCAAACTCTTAATATCAATCCCACAAATTTCTATTGGACAGAGCCTTCAAAGATGGTGAGAAAAGAACAGATGGCTGAAAGTGTCACAGGAATATTATCCAGTGTCCGTTTATTGTTTATCATTCACTACTTTAAGTCTAAACTTTTTAAGAAATTCAAGTATTTGTCGGGAACACACACACACACACGCACACACACACACAGAGAAAACTCTTTGCTAAAACAAAGACAAAAACAGTTTAAAACAGTTTCATATTTAGAATAATAAACATCAAGTTTCTTTTCATAGAAGAAAACAAGTCTAATCTCTACAGATGACCAGTGGTCGTTCTGTCTGTCTGCTCGTCTCGTTCTGCTTTACGCCACTTCAGTGTCGGAAAACTGACCGGACAAGAGCAGACACTCTAAACACAGAGTGCACGGTCCAAACACAGGCCATCTAGTTTAAAAACTGGTCCTAACCTGGAAGGATCTCTACCAACACAACAACAGAAACAAAAAGAAAAAAGTCCAGAGGGAAACGTTTCGATCAACTTGTCCATAAATTATAAATCTGTCATCCAATTAACTATTCTCTCAAAATCATGCATTACCTGTAATCTTGTTTTATTAATTCACAAAGTTGAATCAATTTAGCCAATAATCAATTAATGGTTAAAAGAAAATGTAACATTCATGTCAGAGCTTCGACGTGAGCATTTTAAGTTTTGCTCTCTGTTCTATGAGTGTAAACTGAACATCTGAGTTTTGGACTGTTGGTCAGACAAAATGTGACGGAGATGTTTGTATCGGAGTTATTTGAAAGGCGCAGCCACAATCTGCAGGATCTCACTACGTGATACAGTTGTTAATAAAGACAATGGGAGTGTTCGGGGTAAACGCTGTATCAAAACATTCTGAAGACTATTTTGTAATTTGAGGACATAAACTGCGCCAATAACGACACTAATGTGTTTATTTCAAGTAGCAATGTCTCAATCATACCCCCCAAAAATGAAATATTACTTTCAACAAATAAACTTATTAGTGCAGACAGTGCACAGAATTTCACTACCTTTTTCTGTGTGTGTTTTAGGGAACAGTTATCAAAATGTTCTCGCGACTCTGGGCTCTTAAATGTCTTATTAGATCACAACAAACAAACAAAAACTACTAAGAAAATCACTTCCTAAGATGAATTAAATTAAAAAAATTACCACAAAATGTTATGTTTTCATCATTGTTGACAAACTCAACCATTGCACAGCATTCAAACCCAAATGCTCTCCGTGGGATAATAAATATACACATGCAGATATAAGTCGGTCTCAGTGTTTCCCACAGAGACTCGCTGTGTGTCCCTGTAGCAGAGCAGCTGAGGTTTCAGGGGTTAAAAATTTGTCAGGGACCAACAAGGATGCTCATGGGCCCCACCTGCTGGAGAGTCAGAGATATTAAAAACAAAACAAAACAAAACAAAAGGCAGCTGTGGGAAGAGCATCTCAACCTTCTTTCAAACACGATCCAGGAGGTTCCTTCAGTGTGGACTAGAAACAAACAACAAGTGTGACTGGAGACAATCTTAGCACATGATGAGACGCACTGTTGCAGTATTTGAATGTTTGGCCATTGCTCCCATTTCTGCAGATTGTCCGGCACCCTTGGCACTAGCGAGCGTTTTTGTGAAGTTCCTGAGATCCTAAAAAGATTCCTGCAGCCAAAAAGTGAAAAATGTCTCTGGGCCACATGAAGCCCTGAGGGGCCAGGTGACTTTAGATTACTCATGAACATTCTTCAAATATCGAACTAAATTTCCTAACTTCCCTTTCACATGGAGTCACTGGGGTTGTCTCTGAACACCAGACTTTCAGAGAGTAAACTTTCTGCAGGTGTGTTTGTAGTGACTGAAGACGCGCTCAGATTCGACAGCAACATTTCTAATCCAAGAAACAAAACCTCTTTTGTGATGCCTGAGCTGTGCCGACTGTTTTCAGTCTGGACCCTAAATCATCACCGCTCTGCTCTTTAAAATCTTTCGTTTGTTATGAGTTGCAGCTAAAGATCGTGAATTTGATTGTGGCATTATTTATTGCTGGATGTGCACTATACCTTATTGGGCATATACTGTTACCTATTTGGTTCTGTTTAGTGTCTGTTAAACATCTTTCCCAGGACGACAGATGAACAGTAGTTCAGTTTGTACCAGCTCTGGTCTCTCTGAGTTGATCACTGAGCACTGTCACTGACAAACTATTAACTAACAAAAATAAAAATGCTTTTGGGCAAATTACAATTAGTGCTAGGGTGATAACTATCTGGGCTAATATTAATGAATCTTTGTAGAAATTGAGTTACTGGCCAACACCAAAAGGCCTAATTGCAAAACGGAGAAAACAAAGGCACTTATACTGGCTTTCTCTGTTTCTCTCTCTCTCTGCTGGTGGGGCAAACATCTGAGGTCATCATCATGAAAATAATAACACTGGGGACATTTGTGGTGGGCCTACATGTTCAGATAATACGTGTTGAGGTGGCAAGAAATTCGATGAACATTTTAAATAAAAAAAAAGGCTGTATATATTCATAGGTTTGGCATCTTTCTATCTGCAGAACACCATTTAAGATGACTAAACACTGAAAGTCATTATTTCCTGCCATAACTATCAAAATAAAAGAATATGTGATGACACCATCAGACTTTATAATCAACTATAGGGAATGAATTCCTGTATCACACAGTTTTGTAACTGCAATCAATGATCCTGATGAATGAAATGCAAAGAGGTCAAACACTGATCCAGGAATAAAAGGACTCACACGAACAAGAAAAGCTGAACAAAAAATGACAGCAGCGATGCGTACAGAGAAACACCTGGGAACTGTGGTTAAAACCTGCTACATCTGTTAAATTGCATTATTGTCACTGCAAAACACGCCGTGTGCCAAAAACACAGTGAACGATGTGTTCAAATGCAGTTTGAATTAAAAAAAGGAAAACCTCGGAGATGTTTGGCGGTTAATGGTGCAATGCTGCTTGGTGGGTGTGGGAGAGGGGGGTTCGTGACACACTGATCCAATACACGATCAGGTAGCAAGTTGTCAAGACAGCACGCTCCGAGTGTTCAGCTCCCCCACTTCTTTCATCTGCATTTAAATTAAACCATATTGCACAGGGCTGGAATGACTTCAAAAACCAACTAAGCCACAATCCTACCAAAACATTAAATCATTATTCCTCAATGTCTCTACCAGTAGAGATGGAAAAGCCGATCAAGTACACAGTTCAGTTTTTGACTCTCTTATTCCTCATCAAGGTCTTTAGCAGCATTTTTTTTTTTGTTTTTTTACTGAGCACCAAAAGCGCCTGGAGCATCATGTGTTTGGGTCGTTTAAAAGAACTAAGTGGCAGTTTTCATATTCAGGAAACTTTATAGATTTGTAGAGGGAAACTATTTGAGGAGTTTCAGGAAGTGGGTTGGTCATTTTTTTCCCACTGCGGCTAGAGGTGTAGGTTCCCCTCTGCACCTCACCAGATGAAGGGGGGATGGGGGGTAGGGGGTAGAAAAGACCCAAACTCTTTGATATTTTCAGATGACATGGCCAATGAAATCCTCTGTCAAAATGCTGTCGCTCCTGGAGTTGAAGAAGAGGACCGTTCATCTCTCCTCCTTCCTGGACACCTTGGAGGAGTGCCACGCAGTGGACCTAAAGACACAGAAACAAAACAATACCAGCCAATTTCAGCGAGGGGAAAAACAAAGTCGTTACTGATACAAATCTGTGGTTTTCTTGTCAGTCTAATATTCATAACCATTTTTCCTTTATGGCAGAAATGGGCTGACAATGTATGTAAAACATTTTGCTGGATATCCATCATGCAATTCAAGCAGCTGGCAGGGATGAAAATGTTAAATATATGGGAGGAGTGCTGCTCCGATTATTATTGTGGTTTTACATTTAACTCATTTTCTTTGACAAGTTAAACTAACTTTAACTGAACAGTACAGACTAAACGAAACCAAGTGTTGGAAACGACATCTTAATCAGTTCAGACCCCTCGTCGTCCTCACCTGATGAAGGTCTTGAAGGCAGCACTCTGAGGGTTGATGCACAGCGGCACTCGTTTTCCCTGCTGGTGCTCCGTGATAAAGCGATGGATTAACTCTGATGTTGGGGTGAAAAGAAAAGAACATGTGAGTCGTCTCTGATCTGAGTTGCTGTTGACAAATGTTTAGCTACTTGATTTTTTTTTTGCTTAAGAGTGAACTTGTGCCTGGGATTTAATACAACATACCAAGCTTTTGATAGTCTGCTCTGCTGTGTGTACTATGAACAGAGAGAAATTACTACAGCTGCAGGTATTTGATGGGTACGCTGTACCTAAACTAGGAGCTGAACCCTGAGAACCAACTAGGCTGAGTCTATAGTTTTGAATATAAACATCCAAGTAGCAAAAGAGCTCCATTTCTACTTATTCTTCAATCATATACTTTTAAAATCTAAACTTTGTTACTTTCACTTTATAGTTATGAGAAAATATCACTACAAATTATGGTATGAAAGTCTTAAGATGGAAGTGATAGTCAAACTAAATGATAAGTTAGAAATTTGACACAAAACAGTAGCAAAGATGGTTTTTGCACTATGAAATGTACGTAATGAAAAGGGCTGGATATTGGCACTAGTCCATACAGAAACAAATTCTCGGCATCAGCATGAAGCAGGATAAGCAACCAGCAGAGAGCGGTTAACTAGTGTGAGCTCCGCAGGAGGAACAGACCAAATAAAGTAACCAGAGATAAGATGTCTGCAACAAACGCAAACAAAGCTCAGATCAGTCCATTTTCAGTCTGTCCTTCTTATAAGTGTGATTTCTACATTCACAACTAGGCAGTCAGAGTCAGTTAACAATCCTGTCATGACATAAGGAGGCTAACATAGCCAGCTGTATTACTGGGTTACTTTGTACCTCAAAAATAACCTTTATGGCCACGAAAGAACTGGATTCACACAAAACAAATTTCATGTTGTGCAGCCCAAATGAAACCACTTCCAACTGTAACCACTGTTTATAAAACATTAGGCACAGATGTACATTTTTATTGAGAAAAGGCACAAATGCAAAGAATGTTGAGGTTTTAAGAGTTAATACTGTATCATTCAAATAAAAGGGGTGATTACTCTGAAGACAAATAAGACTTGCTTGTTTGGATTTGGTTAAACATTTAGCATACTGTCCTAATCATAATTACGATGATATGATTGCAACATAATTAAATGAGTAAGTTGCAAAACCATTACATTAATAAATACAAATTTAAAAGTATTTAACTTGAAGGTGGTGACGTACCTTTTCCCTGCCACACAGACAGCAGACTGTTCTCATAGCTGTGGCTGAACGGCCGCTCAGCTACCGGCTCAAAGTCCCGAGTGTAAACGCGGCCGCTGGGAACAGAGTAGCAGCACTGGCACATACAGGTGTGGTACCGCAAACGCCCTTCATCCAGGTAAGGGTGGGATAGGGCATCGCTGCCAGAAATCCTTTTAGCCTGGAGATGAAAAACAGCAAGTGGTTGGAAAGAGCCGATACTGGTGAAGTTCACTAGTTTCATCTATATTTGACATGACTGATCGTACTAACAAATATTCTGTGTGCATTAAAATCTGATCTTATCTGCACCAGTAGATACCCACAGTGTTTATTCTGGATATCTGCAATACAATTCTCTCATTTCAGCTATCTACAGTCCAGCTGTTACTAGACATTATTTTAATTCATTTAATTTAAATGAATTAAAACTTATGAAACTCAAGTGAATTACTGTAGTTCACCCTTAAACAGCATGACAACATAAAACCCCACATACAGTGGGTACGGAAAGTATTCAGACCCCCTTAAATTTTTCACTCTTTGTTATATTGCAGCCATATGCTAAAATCATTTAAGTTCATTTTTTTCCTCATTAATGTACACACAGCACCCCATATTGACAGAAAAACACAGAATTTTTGACATTTTTGCAGATTTATTAAAAAAGAAAAACTGAAATATCACATGGTCATAAGTATTCAGACCCTTTGCTCAGTATTTAGTAGAAGCACCCCTTTGAGCTAATACAGCCATGAGTCTTTTTAGGAATGATGCAACAAGTTTTTCACACCTGCATTTGGGGATACTCTGCCATTCCTCCTTGCAGATCCTCTCCAGTTCTGTCAGGTTGGATGGTAAACATTGGTTGACATTTTCAGGTCTCTCCAGAGATGCTCAATGGGGTTTAAGTCAGGGCTCTGGCTGGGCCATTCAAGAACAGTCACAGAGTTGTTGTGAAGCCACTCCTTCGTTATTTTAGCTGTGTGCTTAGGGTCATTGTCTTGTTGGAAGGTGAACCTTCAGCCCAGTCTGAGGTCCTGAGCACTCTGGAGAAGGTTTTCGTCCAGGATATCCCTGTACTTGGCCGCATTCATCCTTCCCTCGATTGCAACCAGTCGTCCGGTCCCTGCAGCTGAAAAACACCCCCATAGCAGGAGGCTGCCACCACCATGCTTCACTGTTGGGACTGTATTGGACAGATGATGAGCAGTGCCTGGTTTTCTCCACACATACCGCTTAGAATTAAGGCCAAAAAGTTCTATCTTGGTCTCATCAGACCAGAGAATCTTATTTCTCACCATCTTGGAGTCCTTCAGGTGTTTTTTAGCAAACTCCATGCGGGCTTTCATGTGTCTTGCACTGAGGAGAGGCTTCCGTCGGGCCACTCTGCCATAAAGCCCCGACTGGTGGAGGGCTGCAGTGATAGTTGACTTTCTACAACTTTCTCCCATCTCCCGACTGCATCTCTGGAGCTCAGCCACAGTCATCTTTGGGTTCTTCTGTACCTCTCTCACCAAGGCTCTTCTCCCCCGATAGCTCAGTTTGGCCGGACGGCCAGCTCTAGGAAGGGTTCTGGTCGTCCCCAACGTCTTCCATTTAAGGATTATGGAGGCCACTGTGCTCTTGGGAATCTTAAGTGCAGCAGAAATTTTTTTGTAACCTTTGCCAGATCTGTGCCTTGCCACAATTCTGTCTGTGAGCTCTTCAGGCAGTTCCTTTGACCTCATGATTCTCATTTGCTCTGACATGCACTGTGAGCTGTAGGGTCTTAGACAGGTGTGTGGCTTTCCTAATCATGTCCAATCAGTATAATCAAACACAGCTGGACTCAAATGAAGGTGTAGAACCATCTCAGGGATGATCAGAAGAAATGGACAGCACCTAAGTTAAATATATGAGTGTCACAGCGAAGGGTCTGAATACTTATGACCATGTGATATTTCAGTTTTTCTTTTTTAATAAATCTGCAAAAATGTCAAAAATTCTGTGTTTTTCTGTCAATATGGGGTGCTGTGTGTACATTGAGGGGAAAAAATGAAAAATGATTTTAGCATATGGCTGCAATATAACAAAGAGTGAAAAATTTAAGGGGGTCTGAATACTTTCCGTACCCACTGTACCATGCACTGTGGTGGTGGGACATAAACATAAAGCTAAAAACTAACAGGAGAAGCCGTTTAGATGATGAGGGGATGGTGTGAAAACTTAATCAGAGACACACACTGTGCACTATGTTTAATATGTCCTGTGGGGCCTGGGTATCAAGGCTTTAATTTTATCAGCTGGTGACTTTCATCTTAACAGAGATCAACAACAACACAAACATCAAACACCCCCGCTGCAAGACAAGCAGAGGCCAAATCAGTGTTACCGGATCAAAGACCAGCATCCGACAGAGCAGGTGCACCGCCTCGTGTGTGGCTCCGTCAGACAGCATGTAGAGCACCGACAGCGACAGCTGAGGAGGAGAAATCGAAGAGTTTAAACAGTACAACCTGGACACCTCACCGGTGTACACAAGATGAAACTAATATTTGGTCAGGATTCAGCAACAATACATCTCATCAGATCTCTATTTCACTGGCCTGCTATCTGTTACAGAAGCAGAAGTATAAAATAGAAGTAGATCTTTAGTGTACCTATTTTTATTTGTAGTTTTTACTTGAGGGAAGACCTTGTTAAGCTGAATGAGCACTAAACAGATGGGACTAATGCACAATTAAATTATAAAACTATCTTTTTCTCAGTTATATCTCACAACAGGCTACTATTGGTGTCACAGCAATCCCTGGCCTTATATTACCTTAAACAAAAATGATTCACTGAAGTCCAAGCAGTAAAATTAATAGATTTTTTTTAAATCTAGGAACAAAAGAGAGCTCTGCTACCTCATGAGGTATTGACCATTTTATTGCCAGTAAACTTAACAGTGATGAATTTATACCCCCTGGTGGGCTGATAGTAAGGCAGCTGAATAAAATGAACATGTATGACACCATTTTTCACTCCTACCCATTACAACCCCATATCAGAAAAAGTTGACAGTATGTAAAATCAAAATTAAAACTGAAAATGGTGAACCATCTGTGTCCTGTATTACACTGGAAACAACACAGCAGCACATTATTTGATGCGATACCTCAGTTTTATTCTTTGTTCAAAATAAACACACTTTAATTCTGATGCTGCAACACAGTCCAAAAAAAGCTGGGATGTTGCATTTTAGGGCCAGTAATGAAAAATGATGAAATGATGATTTGATTTGAAACAGGTGATGCCAACAGGTGACATAAAACTGTACTGTGCCAAAAGGAAGTCCTATGTCAAATGTGTCTAGAAGCACAGTCAACTGCTCTGGGCTCAGAGGCAACTGGGATGGACCATCAACACAGTGGATACATGTACTGTGGTCAGACGAATCAGTATTTCTGGTCTTTTTTGGAAGGAATGGGCGCTGTGTGCTTCAGACCAAAGACAAATAGGACCATCTGGACCAGCAACAAGTACAAAAAGCCAGGGTCTGTAATGGTCTGGGGTTGTGTCAGTGCCCTTGGCAAAGGTAACTTACACTTCTGTGATGGCTCCATTAATGCTGAAAAACACACAGAGATTTTGGAGCAACATATGCTTCCTTCAAGACGACATGTTTTCCAGGGATGCCATGCTTATTTCAACAAGACAATGCAAAACCTCATACTGCACATTACCAAAGCCTGGCTGTGGAGGAAAAGGGTGTGAGTCCTGGACTGGCCTGCCTGCAGTCCCACCCTGTCCCCACTAGAGAATGTGTAGAACATTTTGAAATGCAGATTGAGTCAACAAAGATCCAGGACTGTTGTTCACCTTAAGTCTTGTTTGCAGGAAGAATGGGACAAAATGACACCTGACACACTTAAGGTGTCCTCAGTCCCTAAACGTCTTTTAAGTGTTGTGAAAAGGAACAGAAACATCACACAAACGTTTTACTTTTTTGGAATGTGTTGCAGGCATCAGAATTGGAGTGAGTGTTGTTTTGAACAAAGAATAAAATTGATGAGGTATCATCAAATGTGCTGCTGTATTGTTTTCAATGTAACACAGGACACAGATTATTTACACATCACTATTTTCAATTTTAATTTTGATTTTACACACCATCCCAACTTTTTCTGATTTGGGGTTGTAGTATGGGCTAAAACATATTAGTGTTGGTGAGCACAGTAACACAGCTGCCGGACCTACTCAGAGCTTCTAATGGTCCCAGCAATATAAAATCCCCTTCTCACTGCAATAATTTATCAAATATTTGAGTCTCTTTTGTGGGAGATTTTTTTTAAATATTTGAGAACAGACACGTGTGGTGGTGGTGGTGGATTCAGTGTGAGTAGGCCACACAGTCACGTACCGGTTTGTGCGGCCCCCTCAGGATGTGGGCTCTGGCTCCTTCACAGGCTGACGCTAGGGCTGACAGAGGAGGAGTTCCCAGCAGGTCTGTGATCAAATCGAGCTGAAGCAGAGGAGAAAGTCAAACAGCTGCACACTGGTCCACCTATCTTGGACTTGTTTGTTAAGACAGATTGCTAAATCCGTCAAGATACCAACCCACACATTCTAAAAATTACACTAGACAAGCTGCACCGTGACAAAACTCTAGATCTACTGTATAGATTTTGGAGCATCAGGAGTTACAGTCAGCATCTCCAGAGGCCTGTACCATGAAGCAAGTTCAGCTTAGTCTGGCTCTCTTGGGGTTATCTGGCTTCACTGAGCCTAACACTGGCTATCCCAGTATCATAAAGCCAGTTATCAGCTGGCCTGTCAGTCTACAAGCACGCTGAGATGGAGCAGAGATACCTGTGGGCAAAATCGTTTAGAACTAGTGCAAAAAGTTGTGTTACAGATGTTAGTGGGTGAACTGTGAACAACTGACTAATGGTATCACTGCTATATAGAAATATCTTATATGTATCACATTAATGTTGAGTCTGTCAAGGTCAGGATACAGTAGGAATGATCACACCATTTTTCCAGTGATCTGACTGGTCAGTGCTTGGGCTGTTGACAGGTTTTGATATGATCATCGGAACTTAACCTGCTGCGGAGCAGGTCAGTTGTGCAGAAAGTTAGTGTGGTGATCTAGCCCGATTAAAAGTAAGCCAATTTTGTGATACCAGAAAACCTGAGCTGAGCCCAGAGTCAGCTGAATAAGCCACTAGTCTCGCTTTGTGATACTGGCCCTCGGTCTCACCTGCTGAATCGGGCTCTGAGCCTGGAAGAGGATACGTCGGCCCAGTAGTTCTGCAAAGATGCAGCCCACTGACCAGACGTCGATGGCTGAGCCATAGTGCCGGCAGCCCATCAGCACCTCAGGCGCTCTGTAGTACTGAGTCACCACCTCCTGTGTCATGTGACATGACGGGTCGGGCTCCTCCACACGTGCCAAGCCGAAATCACAAATCTAACCAGAGACAAAATAATGCTGAGGGCATGTTCAAACCAACTTATGGCTCATTCTGGTACAGATTCAGGATGCAACTGTGGCTCTGAATGTTTTCAGACCTGGCCAAAATAGTTCAATTAACAACCGGCCTTTTATTTAGGCAGGCGAAACCTTTACTTCAAATCTGGCATCTCTATACTCCTCCCACATTACATTCAGGGAACTTTCTATTTTGTCTACATCATGAAAGTTGAGTTATTACAACTGGCACAAAGAGGTTACATTTAATCAGAAAGTAGCGGATAAGTTAGATGTTTTAAAGTCATTCAGAAACAGTTCTTTAACTGATCATAAATTCTGTGAAATAAAAGATTATTTTGGAAAATGTGTCCTTCACCAGTACTTAGAGATAATGCACATTACTTTTTGCATTTGTCGTTTTTAAACCTGGAAGTTTTTTTCCTCAAGAATCAGGGGGACAGAGGTGAGGTTTACCTTGAGCAGACAGTTGCTGTTAACCAGCAGGTTTCCGGGTTTGATGTCCCTATGCAGGATCCCAGCAGAATGCAGGTACTTCAAACCTAAGCAAGAAAACAACAAACAGTCACATTTCTTCTCATAGTTGGTATGCTGGATGCAGGTGTTCCCATTCAGCAGCGAGTCGAGTTCCATATCAAATTTTCTGTGAGGTGCCAACCTTGAATGATGTTGACAGGTGATATGCGCACGGAGTTGTTTGGAAAAAAACAACAACAAAGAACTTTGACTGGACTGTTCGGACAGTGGTCACAAGGCCAAATATCAGATATGAATCAGATCTAGAACCACATATGGAAGTGGCCCTGATGTGATTTGCTTTGATCACACATCTGTGAAAAGATCAGATCAGAGTCTGTTGGAGGGAAAAAGAATTGCTGGCTGGACTGTGATGGAGCCCATCCCCTGACAAGTCTGGGCATTGCCCCTTCTCTTACCATGTATCCCCCGCGACGACACAGTGATCGCTGCGCCACCTTGTTAACAGCCTAGATACAACCGCAGTGTTGTATATATCCACTAGGTGAAGCAGTGTGACGTTTACTGCAGTCCGACTGATAATTTGATCCTTCTGTTAATGCTCAGAACTGCTGGTGGGTAAATATAGTAGCACTTCCGGACCGAGCTGAGGCGCCTGGTTGGCAATGGCTGCCTAAATATTAATCATGGTCCGTGTCTGTCACAGTAATAGCTAAGATTTCATTATGCCTACATGCTCAGACGTTACACGCCTTTTGAGACATCGCGCCACTGGCGGTTATTGCATTACGTCTACATTTTTTATTGTTAAATCAAGGTTGTCAACTCTGCTCTATAGAAAAGAGACAGTCACTCTCAGGCCCTGTTACTCTTTTATGCTCTCCTGAATAATATCTCTGTTCTTCTGCTGTTCAGGGACATTCTTAGCCAAAAAGACACATTCTCTCTTCTAAAAAATGTTCCTATATATATATAACTAAATTGCAAATGCTGATACATTTTGTAGTGAATATATTATTAGATTGTATTCCAATGCAACAGAACCTTAATTCTTGAATTAATGAAGGGATGCATTTTCAAACACTAGGGCACATCAGTCACTCGTGTTTGGTTTTGAATTCTGCTGCCGTTTTTAACTTTTGCTTTCTCTCAACCAAGTGCTGTGAGTCAACACAACCATAATAAAACGTGCTAAACACCGTCTTTGAGCAGCACCTCTGTAGCTCATTCAGCTCAACAGCCTCTCTCTCATCAGCAAGCTATTTTTGTCACTTGCAGCAGCAGTGGCCGCAGTACTGTGTTCGAGAGAAATGTAGGGTAGGCTGGTTTAGACACACTCCTCAAATATTTTCTGTATTCTCATCGCTTCTGTTTTTCTGCTCTTGTTCCTCCACAGGTTTATCTGCTTGATCTGTGTAACAATGTCTGTGCAACCAGAAGGTTGAAGGTTCAAATCTCGGTGCCTGCAGTCCACGTGTCAAAGTGTCCTTGGTCAAAACACTGAACCCCCCCATTGCCCCCGATGGTTAGAGCCATCAGTTCTGTACCGGAAACAAATTCCTTGTGTGTAACATACTTGGCCAATAAAGGTGATTATAATAATTATTATTATTATTATCCTACTAGTTCGTTATGTAATGGTTTTTAGTTTACAAAGCAGCCCCTGAGTTAAACGGCAGTAAGAGCAGATCTCCAAGTCTACTTGTTCTCAGCTGGAGAATCCACCGGAGCTCCATGCACCGGCCTCAGCATAAACTCTATCCCACACCCACAAACAGCAGGCTACAAGGAAGCATTCTATTGGTTACTAACTGGTTAAGAGAGGCACATGAAAAATAGAATTGAATAAATATAATGAAAATTTAAAAGCACTAAGTAGCAGCTACTTTACTGCTCAGTTTGTGTTGATACTTGGGGCCCTATTTTGAGGATCCACCACATCTGATCAAGATATAGTAGTGCAAATGAGGTTTGGGTGCGCCCATGTTAATTTTGGTAATCTGATGATGGGGAAAAACGGTTCAAGCACCCATGCAACTAGCAAAAGGGCTGTACTTGAGCTCCTCATTAAAACAGGAGTGCGTTTTGGGCATAACATGCAGTTATCGAAACAGCGTGTAACCTCACATCCCCTTTAAGAGAAGTGCGAGTTTGAACGTTAAGTAGATTGCTAGCATACAGGACGTCAGTAAGATTTTCCATTGAGGTAATGGATCTGCTCGTTCGTGAGATGAAGGCGCACATTCACTAACAAAATGGTATTATAAATACACACGTAGTGATGTGCACAACACCCAATGAACACAATGTCATCTACAGTATGTATTTTTAAAATTCTGCACGTCCTGCACAGCATATCCTAGGGTATAACAAGCACACTGCACGAGCATTGTGCATGCACCTAAACAGCTGTGCATTACGTGGTCAAAGCGCCCATTAACTAGCAATAATGATTTGACTGCTGCACACTGACCTAGTTTTTGCTGGTCAGCGGCACAGTCACTTTGCGTGTTGCAATAACAACACATTATGACAAAATAATCTACAGTATGTTGTTAAAACAAGAAAATATAGTGTGTCATAACATGAAAAATGCTTTAACATTAAAGTATCTCATAAAATTAGCAAAGTATCTTGTCATTATGAGAAAAGTTTCTCATTAAAACAAGACTGATGCCACCATGTGCAGTTCTTGTGTGTACAATGAAATATAAATCTGCAGGTGCCACTGATATTCACTGAAGACAACTCCTGCACACTTCACAGGCTTGGATGTTTTTGCATGCAAACAGCTGAGCTGTTGCACACCGATTCACACTTTACACAGTGAAACCAACAGGAACAAAATGGTTGTGATCAAGATGGGCACAGCATGACTACTGGGAATTAATGAATTTTAAGATGAGCATTTGAGTGCAAAGCAGGTATCATGTTGGTTTAATTTTGATGTGCAATGCCTTAAAAAAATAGAGTGCCAGAGTTGTTTCTTTCACCCAGTGTTAACATGATACAACTTTAAAGGTTTGTACCAAGGTTATGCACAATAGCCTACAGTATATGATGCACAAGAAATTATTCTTTGTTGTAATCTAGCGAGGGTGAATTGCCCTAATGTGAGACATTTTTTTGCATTTCTGAATTCTAGAATGTACTGAGGTATGAAGCCAGTACATTAAACTCACACAGTAGGCTGCCATTCCAAAATCTCAAGGACCTGTCTTACCCAGAACGAAAGAGAAAATGCAGATATAAGCTTTCACTGAATCCGACTGTCGTTACCATAATATCAGAGGTGTAGTGCTATTTAAAGAAAGTCCTGGAGAGCACCTATGACGTGCATGCAGATGATTAAATTGTAGCCGGCTTCAAGGGCCATGTAAACACTTTCCTGGCAATGTGGCAACTGTAATTGCCCACACGATCAAATGTGAGACTGACTTTATTCTCTAGTGTGGCAGAATATCAATGTGAGTAAGTAACCACAGGGGGAATATTATAGTCATAACTAGGGCATAATCTCTGATGGTCCACCCAAGATATGAAAAACAGACATTTCCGCCCCCTCCCCACCCAAATAATGGTCATGAGCAGTCTTCAAATGCCTCTTAAATCTATAAGAAAATAGATGCTCGCCGACTCCAAAACGTACTGAATGTTCGCTGAGCTCCTCCTGCTTCAGATTGGTTTATTAGGCAACCAGCGACAGTGAACACATCAGCTGTGTGCAGGGCTAGTAACTAATCAGCATGTGCCAGTAACTAATCAGCATGTGCCAAAGTCTGGCCATCCTGTGCCCTGCTTGTGTCATATTGGCCTACAGCTGACAGACTCACAGGTAAAATAGTCTGTTTAAATCCTAGCATCACTTAAGTTAAATGTAAAGTCTAGTTTTGCTGCTGATTGTCACATCTGATGTTTGTCTCCATGGCTCCTGCTAGAGATTATGCTCTAGTCTGCCAGTCTGGATGATCTGAGTTTCATTCTGTCACTTGTCTTATGTAAACGGAGTCTGTAGTCGACACTAAACTGTGTCCTTGTGAATCCTCCACATCATCATATACAGTATGTGGTTGAACAAAACACACAAACACTTGTGGGTACCAATTGCGCATCGGAGCACACATTGTTTGAGTTGACGGTGGGAATCAATCACCTGAAATTTTATTATCACAAGAATAATAATCACCTTTATTTGGCGAAGTATGTTACACTTAAGGAATTTGTTTCTGGTACAGAACCGAGGCAGCCATCTGCAGCGCCAACTCTACCGATGGCTCTAACCATCGGGGCCAATGGGGAGGTTTAGTGTCTTGCCCAAGGACACTTCAACATGCGGACTACAGGCACTGACATTCAAACCTCCGACCCTCTGGTTTGGAGACGACTGCTCTATCCACTGAACCACAGTTGCCCCCAACAACTCAGTCCATTCCATTTTGCAGGACAAACAGTTTGCTGTTGATTGGATCTTCAAGTGCTCCCAATAATACTATGTTATGAACTTCAACCAGATTATGCCAGTCAGCCCATTCTTTGTCCTATCTTGGGGAAAAAAAAGTGGTGGAGCATCGTTCCTGTGTATTCCGGCAGTACTACACCAATGATTATTATGTCTCTTTTGCTTTGTCAGTATTACATTACAAGTAAAATATTTACAGTCAATGTATTTCTGTTGCCAAAATATCCGATCTTCCAGCACCCAACTCTCATAGGTCTCGGATAAGAGAGAGAAAAACGGAAAAATGACACCATTTGTTGCTCTCCCCACTTGCTTCTCTAGCCAAACAGGTAGGCTGTAAAGTAGTAATCTGTACGTTAAGACAGTGCAGTGATGTCATTAAACCCTTGTTCTGCTCCTTGTGTTTTAATGAAGCTGTATTGACGGTATCAATTTACAAAGTCTACATAACTGCAGGGTTATGACAGCAGCTGTCAGATTTCAAATTAATATTCACAAAGCTCTTTTTCATTCTAGCATAACTTACTATTTATTAATGTAACTTAAGCATGTTAATGTTTAATAGATTTCTGACTAGGAATGTGAAGCCCAGTGAAACAGATAATAATTATCTGGCACAGTACCTGTATGATAAGGATTATGGTCAAACAATTTTATTGTATAAAGCGTGGCCTAAACAAAAACAGAGTCTGCAGTGCGAATACAGTACTTTGGGCAGTCACACTCTGGTTTGTGTGCTTTTGAGAACAAAGCGCCATCTAATGGTGACACTGGGCAAATCAAGGAATATCTCTTTAATGGACGTGCTTACTGTGGACTCGAGATATGCCTTATCAGGCAACAAGAAAAGGGGGGCTCCTGAAAGGCTCACGGGAACTGCATGCCAGCTGAAAGCGCGATTCTGTGTGGCTGCATCTGTATACATGTATGCAATATGGGCTGCACTTCACTTCAAATGAAGTGAAATCACCTGCTCACCTCGGAGGATCTGATAGAGAAAGACCTTGATGTGGTCAGTGGTAAGAGGCTGTGGGGACACGATCACTTTGTGGAGGTCGCTCTGCATCAGCTCTGTTATCACATAGCTGGGAGGTGGTTTGCTGTCAAGGAAAAAAAAACAGCTCATACATGGACCGACCTCCGCCTACATGAACACAATCCATTTCAGAGCACAGGGCTCATTTTTAGTTGCTGAACAAGACACGGTTGATTAACAACAAGTGTCAAGGAAACACTTAACACCCAAATTAAATATTCACTAGTGGCTAGCCTCACATCTGCAGTGATGAGCTGGATTTAGACCAGTGACAAGCTAAATAAAGTGAATAAAAAAAAAAAAACAGGACATACGAGACAATTAATGAAAAGAAACTGGGACAGAAGGTGTGTGGAGGTTGATAGCTGTGAGGAGGTATACTGCAAATACTGTACAGTACATATGGTGATAATATTAAATACATGAAATCTGTGAGCCAAGGCATGACTCTCAGCTCTGAATAGGTGTTTTTTCATTTATAAAAAAAGATACATTTCCTCAAAGCAGTCGATTTGTGGAGGCTGCAGAATGTCCAGAGCTGACAAAACCTGCATGGACAGAATAAAAAGACAAATAGAAGAAAACAAAAACAACATTTAGTCCTTGGCCCTTTTTAATCATCTCACATAAGATTTTTGATGTCTTGATCCATTTAATTCAAACACCACATTTCCCCTCTGTCCAGTCATTACATTATCGTGTTTGAAGAAGCACAGCATCCTCAGCTCTCTGAAGACCCTCTTACAGGAGACCAGGTTCTGGAAGACATTAGGCATCTTCTTCAAAGCCACCTTCCGACCATCTCGGGGATCGGTAACTGACCTATAAGAAAGTGACATTCACAAGTAGATCAGACACAGTTTCTTGTGATACAGATTAGCAGACTGTCAATGAATTATGAAAAGATGTTTAGAGCTCTCTTTTTGTACGACATAAAAGGTTAGAAAAGCACAAACTTTTCATAAGTCAGTTCATCAGCAAAAAATTACTCCGCAATATTTTAAGCAAAAATGCCAAACATTTAGTTTTCAGCATTACAAATGTGAGGTCTTGTTTCCCTTTCTATTGTGTATGTATATCATGGTAAACTGAATGTCTGTGCATTTTTGATTGTTGAGCCGACAAATCAAGACAAGCTCTAGGAACTTGAGGACGTTTTTCACTGTTTTCTAGCATTTTGTAAACAATTTGAGAAAACAGTTGGCAGATTAGTTAACAATTGAAAATCATAAGTTGCAAAACCTAATAATAATAATAATAATAACATCATGATTGCAGACAAAGATTCAATGCCGTTCAACAATTCACCATTCATAAGTTGGCTTCATCTAGGTTTCTGAGGAACCCAAATCCCGGTTGAGGACGCATCTCATCTGGTGAAACGTTAGTTTGATTTAAAGTGTATACAATCCTTGAAGCTGCCACAATGCTTCCTTTAGTTACCAGCTGCTGGGGTGATGCAAATGAGAGTGCAGCTGGATTTGAAATGGCTGTATTTTGTTATTAGATAACAATAATACAACTCTGACATAATAATAACAACTACTACTACAACAATAATAACAATAATAATAAAAGCGCACATGATGTTCCCTGTGATGGATGACTTGTTTCAATATTTTAATGTCTCTACAGAAACAAAATGAAGCCCTTGGCTGCCTGGAAGATGTGGAAGAAATGAAACTGACCGTGATTTATTACAATTAACAATGGTTTGAAGATGTATTATTAATAGTTCAAACGTGCACCACACTTTAGCCCTTATTGATGGTTTCTTACCAGACGACACCGAATGCGCCATAACCGATGGGGCGGTCCGGCTCCATCTCTGCAGGGCTGGGCACCTCGCTGGCCGGGTTGCTGTAAGGCTGAGGTACCGCTGCTCCTCCACCGGTGCTTCCCCCGAGACCTGTGGGATGACGAGGGGTCCCGGCTGGGGCAGTGGGTCCGGTCATGCACGGTGTGGCGCTGAGGCCCGTGGAAGGGGCTCCGCAGGACGAGTTGACACAGAAATACTTGTGGCCCAGCTCAGAGCCCGGAAACAAGTCACCACAAACAGTCTGCCGGCCTGGGCCGTGAAATGCCATCCTCCTATCACCAAGCCCCGAAACGGCTCACTTTACCTGAGCGACACCAAGCTGCTGCCGCTGCTTCCCGGCTAGGTGCAGAGGAAACACCGCTCCTCAGTCAGCATGATCCTTTAGATTCCGATGTGTCCATACAGGGAAGACCAGGCATGATATGAAACGCTGCCGAAGTAAACAAGCGAGCTCGGTGCCAAGACGGAGAACAGCAGAGATACTGTGTGTTATCACTGCAGCCAAACTGAAGCGCGATTATCTAGCCAAGATGTAGAGACATGCGCATCAAGTCCGAAGCATGCTGGTTAAAGCACAGATGAATTCATGTCCTGGACGTACAGCTAACAAACAACTCAACGACTAAAACTTTCATCAGTGGACTAAGTCACCTTTGTTGGTAGCAGGCTAGCTTACCTGGTTAGTGAAGCTGTTCGGTTAACTCCGCTAACAGTATCCGGCTAGCTAGCGCCAGTCTGCGACGACTCCAAAATGTGAAATAAAAGGGTGTTAAGCCCGGTGATAGCCTCAGCCATTCAAACTGTGGAGGAACTCTCACTAACACACTACGTGCATTTACGTTATTGTCCAAGACAAATACAAAATCTTCGCAAGCTTTCTAGCTGACCAGCTGTTCAAGCTAATATGTAAGCCAGACAATGCCTATGACCCACATAACTATCATCGGTTCGGTACAGTGACCTCCACATTTCAGACAGAAACATAGCTAAATTCGTGTAACCAACACACAAACCAAGCTCGGTTAAACGAATAACAGCATGACTAGAAAACAGACTTCCACGCTCGTCACCAGAGATACTGCCCCGGCTCCAGGTGCTAGCCGGATTGTTAGCTACCAGCTAGCTGCAGCTAGCCTCTCACTACCCACTAGCTGGCCATCGTGTCGTAAATTCCATTGGAAAAGCGGTCTACAAAGACAGTCTCTTGTGTTTTCTGGATAAATTATCATACATCAGTTGCTCAGTGGTACGTTAAATCAGCTGGATTTCTATTCGCTTTTACATCTACAGCTAGCTGGCTATCTTGCCAAGTAGGAGGAGCTGATAAAGCCGGGTGGGGGAGGGTCGATGATTTTCACTCCGCTGTAAACAATGCTAAGGTTAACTAGCTTCAGATCATCACCAGAGGAAAAAACGGGGGTCGGTGGTGGAGGAAGTAGATATTCACCATGGGCTTTTAGAGTGCCTATGCCAAAATCTTCACTAATAAATATCTTGTTGTAAAGTTGTGCATTATTAAACTGATTCAATTTTATCTGTGTATCAAGTAATTAAGTAAAAAAATGGAAAGGTTTTCTTATTTCATCCTTGCAGAGCTGTAAGGTAGCAACCAGCAGTTATCAATGTCTGACAGTTATTTTCTTACATCACTGATTGATTGGTTAGTGTATGAAATGCCAGAAAATAGTGAGAAATAACATAACAGCAATTCAAATAGCTAGTTTTGTTTACTATCATAGAAAGCTGGCAAATACTCACATTTGGAAAGCCGCCTGGTAACAGTGAAGTACTGGCATTTTCATTTAAAAATTATTCAAAGAATTAATTGTTAATCTCAATTGTTGCCAATGAATGTGTTGAGTAATTGTTTCAGCTCTGGCTGTACTGACTGATTTTTGGGTGTCTGAGTAAAAAATGAAACTAACAGTGGGAGTCAATGGGGCCCCAACAACAAATACTTGCCCTGGGGCACTGTAGGAAATTAATCTGACCATACTATACAGTACACTAAAGGCACTCTATCTTAAATAATCAGCTGATCATTCAACTGGATGACTAGCAGAAAATGACTTTCCAATTATGTGATTATTTGCTAGATTTCGATAATAATAAACTCAGCATCTTTGGGGTCTTTGACATTTAAACATTTCAACTTGGGCTTCAGGGAATCATAAAGGGCATTTTACAAATATATTTTATGACATTTTATACACTGAAGTATTCATTATTATTAAAGACCGACTGATATTAAAAATAACTGACACATACAGACATACAGTTTTTCTATTATGGAATACTACCTTGCCTGAGTTTTTTTGTGTATTAACTACTCAACACAGAAAAAGTAAAAGCAAATTTACAGATCACACCTTGACAATAAATGAGCTCAATATAAAACAGTATAGTTCTTAAAAATACATTTTGTCACAGATACACTTTACAGGACTGGGGCCACAAATTTGCAGTTGATAAAAATATGTAGACAGAAATGATATGGAGTAAACCAGGAGCTTTTGGAGCTCCTGAGCAGCTTCCCAGTGTTAATGCAGCAAATGTACCATATTATATTAGAAGTACTAATCAGTAGACCAATGATCCACATCACTGTGATGCTATCATATTTTGTTCTGCTAATTATTGCTATAATCCCGCTGTTTATGTTGTAGCCTTTCAAGGTGAGGCTAACTTTACCATTCTTTATATGTTACTACAGTTTGTTGTAGTTTTATCTCAACATATCATTTTAGTTAGTTTAATTTAGTCCAATATCACAAATTTAAGGGATTTATAGACTATACAGCATATGACACCCTTTAAACTTAGAATCTCAGTTCAGAAAAGGAAAAACACCCAAAAAAAACTTATTAATAAGGAAAAACATAGAAAAAAACCTCAGGAAGTGCAGCAGAGGAGGGGTCCCTCTTCCAGGATAGACAATATTTAAACTGTTTAATCTGCAAAGTAACTAGTAACTAAAGCTGTAAAATAAATATAGTGGAGTAAAAAATACAACATTTCTCTTTGAACTGTAGTGGAGTTGAAGCCTAAAATAGATTAAAAGGAGGGAAATAGTCAAGTAAAGTACATCAAAACTGTATCTACTGTGCTGTAAATACAGTATTTAAGTAATGTACTTAATTACTTTCCACAACCACTATGGATGAAGTGTACAATCAGCAATCACTCAGACATACAGTACATGGAGATCATTTCAACTTAAATATAGACATGCATTTTACTGCCTTTTAATACAATATTAACGAAGCATTATGCACTATGCATCAAGTACAATCAATAGGCACAGCCACAGAAAATGTGTCACCAAGGTAACTACAAATTACATGGATATTTTCAAGAATTACAAATCAGCATCCAGAGAAAGAACAAAGATCATATGAAGCAGAGAAGTTAAGCACATTCAGTGTTAATGGGGAATATACACAAACTATTAGTTTGCCTTTATCAGCTCTAGAAGAGTGTATATACATGATGGCCCATCTGAAAGTGTTGTTCTCATGTCCAGTTTGGAGGTTCCCCTGCTCAAGGATTTGTCCCTGCTCTGAAGGCTCTGACAAAGGCAAACTGGAGACTGGAAGTTTAGTAATAAACTGGGGGATAAACTGAACTAAGTCATGTTATTGAAGTCTTTATGCCAGCTTCCTCATCACAAACAAACACTGATATCCTGTGATATGCATGATGTAAAAACAGTAAAGGCTTTAAAAATGATGATTGGCTGTGCAAGTCTGTTCAAAACTAAAAATAAAATGATGGCAAATAGAAACAGCTAATTACAAAGCCATATGAAGAAAAATTCACATTAATTTTCCTCCTTAATGAATGAAGAGTTTTCCTTAATGTCTGATCCACTGTGTCTTCAACCCGTCTCTATGTACAGTATGTAACATGAACAGTAAGTGCGTATCTCTCAGCATTGGAGGCAGGTCAGCTGTTTAACACAGCCGATGGAGCTGGGCATCATACAAAAACAAATATCTGAAAAAGATGCTGTCCTCGTGTAACCATGAAGGACACAGAGGAGGAAAGATGATGTCCACAGCACGGTGTCCTTGTCTGTGTCCACCTGTGGCAGTCTGTTATGAAATAATCTGGAAAGAGAAAACAAAACCAGTTCATGTCAAAGTCAAACTAAACCATAATGCAGAAAGTTAAACAATACTTCAACTGATATTGAGGGATTTGTCTTTTTTGTTTCATTTACTGTCTGGTTGAACATTCCTTCAACATATCAAATTTTATTTACAACAGCGAGTTACAGTTTAATAGTAGTCAAAATGCTGGTTCAAAGTGCACATTAAAAGGGTTACTGGACACTGAGCAGCTTACCCATAGTGGCTTTAAAGAGATCTGTTTGCAAAAAAAAAATTAAGTCTTCTTCTCTGTAAAAATGCAGTACTACTGTACTTTCAGTGAAAGCTAGCAAGATGCTTGCTTTTTCTAAGCAAATCAAGCAATTGTCTTCTTCCTGGCAGTAGTCGTTACCAGGATGAACATGAACAACCACTCCCAGGACATATTCTTCCATTGCATCTCACTGGGGAAACACATCAGGGGTGATTTTGTACTACAAAGGCCATAACACTGGAAGATAACCATGTGATTATGACCAGTGTGTCAAGGCAGGAATCATTTCATCCGCATTTTCACTTGTTGACCAAGTGTTTGCATGTTGGACACGTGTGTGCTACCACAATACTTCACAGCCCTGTGAATTGCTTGGACACAGTTGACACAGAATTAAAGCTGCAGCTGCTGATGTGCTGCCTTTATAATGTCGCCTATGCAGACATGGTGTACCTCAAGACTCGTATAAGCCTTAGCTGAACTTTAGAAAGCATTTTAGCACAGAATAATGAATGTGGATCTTGCCCCCCTCCCCCCTAGCGTGGTTGCATCAGTAATGGATCACACAAGAACTAGTATGCAGAGGCAAAAGGAGTGAACATGTATGACAAAGTATTAAGTATTAAGGTACACTTAAGAAAGTCTAAACTCATCTTTACTGTGAGAGCAAAATGCAATGAACCATGTTAATACAAAGAAATGTTTCTCACACCTGGTTTAGCTGCTGTCTTTCCAGTCCTCTCCTCCATGTGTCCTTGTTTACCTTTGACCCCGTTTGCCCGATCCCCCCAATGCCTCCATCCCCACCTATCCCACCCCCAGCTGCCCCCATGCCTTCCGAACATGCTAGCTGTGGGGCTGTGGGGCGATACTGGAGCAGTCAGTTACCAGCAGTCCCACTGTGCTAGCACTGGACACAGTGACAGCCACACTGGTGGTGCCCACAGGGCCAGCGCTCGTCGGGTCAGGGCTGGGGTCCCCCTGGCTGGCGTGGGTGCCCATGTGACCCTGGAGCTGAGTGGCTGTCTTACACTGCACCCCGCACAACTGGCAAAGCAGCACCCCGCCAGCCCCTGTCCCTCCAAAAGATCCCAGCGCCCCACCACTCTCCTTCCATTCTTGGCCGTGGTGCTTCTGAGCGTGGACACGCAGGTAGGTGAGGGTGGTGAAGCCTGGAAAACACAGACACCTCTTCAATAGATATTTTGTGAAAAGTCATTTAGCCATGTTTTGCATGTTATAATACAGAAACATATGACAGAAATGATATACTGTAAACTTTTTTTCCAAAGCATTGCCTGAGCTCCACAATCACAAACCAGGTAGACAGGTGGTTGTCATAAGCAACATATTGTGACAGAAACTGTTTTAATGAAATTTTATTGCGATGTTCTCAGAAATAAAGGAGTTATTTTAAAAATCTGAATGTATTTGTGGATCATTATCAGCATCTTGTTTTTGTCATGTTTAGAAATACACCCAAACATGTGAAAAACTAGACTGAACTAAAACCAAAATGGCCAGCAATTATGAAATGAAATCTGGAAGACTGTAAGTGAGGCGCTAAATGTGTGTGAGCACAGATTCCACCTTGTGTGGAAATAATGATATATATACCGCCATACAGTATATATCGTTATTTCCACACAAGGTGGTTCATTCTAAACAGTCACACGTGAGTCCATGTATCTCGGCCACGCAGCCCTACTGCCGGCATGGTATCTTGTGTATGTAGACCTGTTTTTATTCAAGTCTAGCATCTCAAATGAAGCTCCACTAATTCTGCATATCTTACAGCCACTTCACAATTAAATGGTCCACCTGTGGAATACTTATAATATGAAGCAGCAGTTGCAGGACATGTTGGGTTTATATGAGCTGTAACTTTCACAGTGCTGTTACAGCTGTAAGCCGATTAGTAAACAGGAATATAAGAGAGAGCTTCTTCTCTAATCTTCAGCACAGCCATTCATGGCTTTAACTTTTTGTTTCAAGTCCAATTTTTTGGTTTAAGTCCACAACAAAACTGCAACTATCCCATGCTGTGAGTGGACAAAACCATGCCCATGGGAAAACAGTAAAAGACAGAGTGAAAAAGTTACAATTTTTAAAATAAAAATGGCTGCACCAATATGAATTTAAACAGGTATGTCATGTCGTTGCTCCATCTTACTGCGGTTGCAGAGGTGGCAGGCGTGGTGCTGCGACTGGTTGTGGACCCTCATGTGGTCAGTGATGTAAGCAGCAGACAGCAGCTTCCCACAGATGTGACATGGCACCTTCTCTTCATGACGGATCAGATGGGCACGGAGACGATCCCGCGTGGCAAACGCTGATGTGCACGTCTGTAGAAAACAAGAGGACAGGCATGGATACGATACATATAATAAGAGTAGCAAGAACCACACTGTAAAACAGGTAGGTATGGACTAAGACTAGGGGCAATCTGGGAAAAATCTCCTGTCATTGTAGAGATTCTTTTTAACCAAAACACAGAAACACAATTGGAAAAGTGCTTAAAGTTAAAATCACAGGTTGGTAATGTCTGTTTCTAATCAAGTGAATTCAATACCTGAAAAATCAAGATACTTCATCACACTGATGCAAAAGATTCTTTAAAATACGCAGCACTACTCATCAATCTGGCCCACTGCCCACCATGGCCTAATGCAACCAGGGATATTATATGATGATCAGTATACACCGTACATCAAATGTCTCAATATGTATCGTCATACTGTATAAGCCGATCAAAATGGTGACCAAAAGTGAAGTATTATAAACATGTAAATCAAAGACTGAACACAAAACTTCAATACAAAAATAAAATAAAATAAAATAAAATACACACATGTTGTGAAAAAACAGACCAAAAACAATTAAGGGATAGGGTGGTAGTTTTAATGATTACACTCTTCTGTATACTCTTCTCATTTCCCCTGATCCATATGAACCATTGTGTGTTGCTCCAGTCCTGTTGTAATACACAGGTTTAGGGAAAACACCGTGGTACCCCGGAAAGATACCACTCTACATGATGCCCTTACAGCTCATTGCTCCAGGCACAGTAGCAGACTCCACCTGGCTGTGCTGAGTGAAGCTGTGGTTCTGGAAATGGCAATATTACACCCATCACAAATTAATGTGCCACAACCATCCTTCAATAGCTACAGTCTGTCTCATTCTGCCTCAGCAGCAGCCAGTTACTGCCTAATGACACAGTGCAGAGAGCTACAGTAGCTTCATTAGCTCTTTTAGTTGTCTATTTAGCTACAATCATACAGACCTGTTGCTGATCAGCCACAGCCGAGGGTGAACCCACCATGGCCACAACCAACAGCCATCTACAATCTAATACATACAACATCATAATCCTCTGTGGATCAGAGGAAATGCAAATATACTGCAAGAGAATGCAAAAGTTGTTCCAACAGGGACTCCATAAATTTCAGGTTTGTTTTACTTGCTTTGCTTGTCATTTATATGTTTTATGATCTTAATTAGTTGCAATACACATAGTTAGAAATGTTATGTTGCAAAATTTCCCATTTGTTTGCAGTTAATTTATCTGCAATTTTAAGCAGCTTTGTCAATATATGCCTCAGTTAGGATGAGGTTTTGGCAAATTATTGGGTCTTCTTTAAGCTACATCATAATCACTATCTTCCAGTGTTTCATGGTTTGTATAACTCACAAACCCATACTGGTTGAACTCCATTAAACAGACAGATGAAGACGTTACCGTGCACTTGAAAGGCCTCTCTGTGGAGTGCACCTGCCGAACGTGGCTGTTGAGGTGGTCCGGTCTGAAAATACAAAACAAAAAAACAAACAAACAAACAAAAAAAAAGAGCAATTTTAATCTACAAAACATTTCATCTCTGGACTACTACTGTTACTTCTGAAAATGTCTGACTTTGTTGTCCCACTGTAGCAGAAATAAATGAAGCTGTGATGTGCTGACAGGTTTTTGATATGTAAGAGTGGACGTTCATCTAAGTGAGGCGCTAAATGCGTGTATCTCAGTTTATACCTGGAGAAGGCCTTAGCACAGTGAGGACAGATGTAAGGCTTCTCCACGCCGCCCTGGTGTGATCGCACATGATAACTCATCCTATCTTTCCTCTTGAAGCGCTGCTGGCAGATGGGGCAGGAGTAGGGCTTCTCATCAGAGTGGGACAGCCGGTGGCGGTTCAGGTGGTAGACGTCTCTGAAGGCCTTTCCACAGGCTTCACAGGCGTGATTCTTCCTCACCTGGTTCGTATTGGGATTGGGATTTGGATTCTGTGGAGCAAAAGCAGCGTGTCTCAGTCAGATGAGAGAGGAAACTGCTGCTGGCGGTTTTATAACATACCTGAGAGATAACAGGATCAAGCAGAATCAGAGAACTTTGTTTGTTACTAAACTTCAAAATCAACAGCAAAGAGTGATGTCAGACAAAAACAACAACAAGAAAAAGAAAAAAGTGGAAACATATCCATGATATTGTGCATGTATGTCAGTAAGTAGCTGGTTAAACAAAAGAAGAGAAACAATACTCTACACCCTGAAATTAAAATACAAGTAATGAAGACCTGTGTTGAGCCATGTATTCTGGGCCAATCAAGGCTTTTTTTGATTTACAGTCAAGCCAGATATTTACACCGAGAGTGGCTGTTTGTCAGAAACACCCAGTTACCCTCCATTAAAACATCGACTGCACAGCTTTCTGAGCGAGAAACCTAACCATAAAATAGACTGCAGGCCAGGAGGTTCACCTAATGATATGACAGTAGATGCCAGCCAGCAAGTGGCGTGAGTAGAGCCACTTTGTATCATTGTACATCCATTTAAAACTGAATTTTACTGGTGAAGCACACACACACACACAAAAGAAATCACACTAACATTGTCTTTCTATGAGTATTTATAGAAAATATTATACCAACAAAGGCAGTTTTTTTGGCTTGGGATCCTTCATAGCTTTGCAGCTACAGTATGTCGTGTGTATACTTACACCTTTGTGTCATATTTTATTAATGTCACTAACCTGATTTACTAATTAAGGCAATAAAATAAATATTGGCTTATAAAATGTGGTCACAACATTCATAAATAAAAGTCAGATGTGATCACACTTGCACAGAAATGACACAGAGTATCTGGGATGTGGGGGAGTCACTGACTGTCACAACCAGGTGATATGGCCCAGATTTTAAGCTGAGTGATGCTGAAAAAGACGGAACTAAAACCAAAATGGCCAGCAATTATGAAATGAAATCTGGAAGGCTGTATTTCTATGGACAGTACAAGTCAAGGCTTCTGCAGGTCAACTAAACTCAATTTAAATCTTTTTAATGTCATTTTAATACCACACAGAATCAAATTTAATACCTGTCTCATTCTGACCAAAGTACTGATGTATGATGTAAAACAAGTAGGGATGATATGACCAAGAAGAATTTATCATTATGTCAGATTTTTATTTTTCAGCACTTTCCTGGAGTACAAAACAATAATTCCCAATTAAGCAACAGACAATGAATGATGATCAGTCAATTAAAAGTGACTGATTTAGCTGATTGAAGCTTTCATCAAAATCTTCACTTGTGAAAGGATGATCTTCCTGCCGTAGCTCCTGTAGCAGCAGTCGTGACAGTGTTTGCTGTAGGTCTTACGGTGCTGGCTAAAAAAACAACTGCACACTCTCCTGCAGCACAATCCACTGTCACAACAATCCCATTTTTAGTTTAGATGTGTGGAATGTCTCCTGACAGCTGGATACAAACATATTTAATAACTACTATTACACTACCTATAGCAGGGAAGAAAAATATTTAAAGACTTTCAGAGATTACATTTCAATTCCAAGGCCTGTTTTTAGAATAAACTGAATGGAGTGCTTTTTCAGACTTTCCAAGACCTATATGCCTTTGAATCAGCTGATATGGACCCAAAACTAGGGGAGAAAACTGAAACCCACATTGTCCTTTAGTCGGGGTTTAGTCCTCACACTAAACTCCCTGCATACACATTAAACTCAGTGACTCTCTTCCTAGTGAACCCACCTGCTCCAAGGACCCAACAACAACAACAGCTGCTTGGATGGGTTGAGGTGGTGCAGCCATGGTTACAGTTGCCGGGGCAATGGACACAGAGACCGGCTGGCTCTCCTGGTTGGCGTGCTGACCGGGCTGGGGGAGGGTCTCCGGAGCGACAGTGGGGAGAGGAAGAGGAGGAGGCTGTGGGGGCAGGGTGAGGTGGAGGAGGGAGAGAGGGACTGTCTGCTTCTCCACTCGTCCTCCCTTGCCTCCATCCTCCTTTTCCCGGCTGGCTCCGGCCTTCATCTTGATGCCCGTGTGCACGGACTGGTGCCGCCGCAGGTTGTAGCTGTTCTTGAACTCCTTGTTGCAGGTGGCACAGATGTGGGCTGGCCGGCTCGGTTTGGCGAGCGGTTTGACTGGCAGGCACAGAGTGGCAAAACATCAAACTCATTTTTCAGTTTCAGTCAGGTTTAAATGAATGACCACTGCATTTTCATACAAGTTGTTCCCGAGTATGGAGGACAAAATGAGTAAAATAAAATCTCACATTAGCAGTAACCAAAGTGTTCTGCTGGACTGCCAAATTTACTCGTTAGTCAGCTAATACTAGCTTCAGAGTAGAGGCTGTATTTTGTAGAGTTTGTCGCAACCAGGCATCCATAGTTTACATTGTCACTAGGAAACAGGGTGTGACGGGAGGGGCAAAGAGCAGTTAAGAGAGGTGTCAGTGTGTTTTGAGTCTCACTAGATCCTCTAGTGGCTGGAAAGACACTAGGTCGAGTATCTGAGCATCATGAATAGACCTTCCCTGGTTCAATTTGGGCTGAGGCACCTTTGTTGCATGTTGTTTCACTCACTTTCTTCGCATGTTTCCTGCTTGTTTCTCTACTTTCAAATATTAAACAAATGTAAAAATGCCCAAAATAAAAAAATTAAAAAAAAGAACATCTATCTCAGTCAAACTAAACACTACATATCAACTGATACATGTAGTACTTACAATTTAACACACAGTACAACAGAAATAAATCAGTCCTCAAACGGGCAATGCTTAAATTAAAATCCTGCCATGTTCAACGAGAAACAGAGACAGTCTTAAACTTCTCACCAGGTAGCGGCTCCTCACTCAGGGCGGCAGTGTCGACGGTGGATGGCGGTGTCACGATGTGCTCTGCTTGAGGACTCTGGGCGGTTCCTGTCAGCTCAGGCAGCAGCTCAGACTGCAGAGGCGTCTCAGGCTGGCTTTGAGTTGGTGCTGTCTATAGAGTAAAACAGGAACATATTTATTAATACCCCAGCAAGCACACAGTTGATAATTTTTCTTTTAAAACTGTAACCAGATTGAGTTTGTATAATTGGGGGGGATAGTATTGATTTTTTGGCCATTTGGAAGGGTGGAAAAATCATTCTCACCTTATAAAGTTGATATAACAAACATGTTAGCAAACATTTGCCTGCTTCCACCCAGAGCAACATGAACATTCATTGGATACATGTTTGTATCCACCTGATGAACTTAAGTCCAATATTCACTCTTGATTAGCTCTTGTCTGGACTGCTGAGGGAACTCGCTGGCTCTTTAGCTAAATGATCACCAGCTAATTGCTGTGGCATCTTTTTTTCTTGAAAACAGGATATAAGACAAATGTACTAATTCCATAAGGTTTATGGATCATGGCACTGTGAATGCCTCACCTACGAAGGGGCATTAGGACCACAATAAGGAAACAAACAATTGGGGGGGGGGGTAAAATTTTGTTTGTCCATAATAAAGTTGAAATGTTGAAAAAAAGTCAGAATGTCAAGATAAAAGTCAAAATGTTGAGAATAAAGTTGAAATACCTTTTTGAGAATAGTTTTGAAAGGTGCAAGTTCAGCTTGATTCTTGACATTAACTTTATTCTCAGTATGCAAATGATAAAAATATTAAAAAAGAAAATCATCTTCATCTAATTTCATTTCTCCTTGATAATACTTAATAAGAAGTAAAGATTTAGTGTGGCTGGGTTTACCTTAACTGCTGTCCGTCTGAAGCTGATTTTCAAGCAAAACCACCAGGTATTGTATCTCCACAGTGAGGATTTGCTGGTTCTCTCAGCTTTATATAATTTAAATTAAATACCCTTGGGTTTTGGACTGTAGCTCAGCTGAAATAATCAATTTTAAGAAGTTACGTTGGGCTGGTTATAAACATTTCTCGTCATTTACTGTCTTATAGACCAAACAATTAATCTTGACTATAATCAGCAGATTAACTCATAATAAAAATACTTATTAGTTGCATTACTACTCTGTCAAGTTGCAGACAAGTGCCTCGGGGCCCCAAAAGCAACAGTTCACAATGTGTCAGTTAGATGACTATAACTGGTGTCATTGAATTAAAAAAAAAAATTAAATAAAAGATCCAATATCAGCAGAGCTGATTGCAGCCTATTAGTTAGTCTTGCTGTCCAATCTTTTGGAGGGGTAAACAGAACTACATGAAACCACTCTGAGGCCCTGTGGCAAGAACTGTCCCCCACCACAATCACCTTATCTTGTCACTTTCAAAGTGCATTAAATAGAAATGTACAGGAATGTGCACCATGTGGGTGCCTGAAATAATATACAGCAGGTATTAAATCTGGAGTCTGGCACACGGCTCTTCTACATGAGTACTACATAAGTAATAATACAGTACTACAGTAATAATAAAGGGGCCCTGTTTGTAAGCTCCACTTCAGTTTTGCAGGATTTTGTATTTAATGGTGCAAATATTCACAAAGTGTACTAAGTAAATGAAGGGGTCCACCTAAGAAATATAATAAACAAGGGAACAAGACTTCGGAAGCCCAAACCAAAAGCCAACTTCACCCAGACCCCTCTGTGACCTCCCCCAGCCCCTGTCCTTCCTCCCTCCCTCCTTAACCCCGTGCATAAATGTCAAACACCCCACAGTTTTCTCCTCCCCTCAAAAAACCCAAACAGACTTAGCAGCTCCGGCATCAATTAACACCTACCTGAAAAAGGAAATTACTCCAGGAGGTATCCATTCTGACGGACTAAAAACTGGGACTAAAACAGGGAGGGAGGAGGGCAACGGAGCCGAGGAAGAAATGCTCCAACTGCTGCTATGAAAACAAAACCTGAGGCCTGTGTGGCAGCTCTTTCCCACTAGCCCGGGTTAATTCGTGGAGATATATAATGACACCGGACGACATTTAGCTCAAATCAACACAGCGTTAATAGTGATTAGGCTGCTATGAGTTATGAAGTAATATCTGTTGGCAATATCCAGGCACTGACGAGATGCTTTTGTAAATGCGACAAAATGGTTGGTATGCTTGCTTTAATGGTGCATTTTAATATAACTTGCTTATGTCTACTGTAATCAAATCTGGTGAATTGCATGCAAAATATAGATTATTTTTATACAGAAGATGGATGAGTAGTCGAAACGTGCTAATCATAGTCAGCAGCTGATCAGAAGTCATTTATTTTGCGATAGCTCCGAAAAGGCCTCGGCGTCGGGTCCCAAGCCTCGGTGTTGCGTACAGCTCGTCTCCTAACTACAGAGCTCCTGGTCGGCCGCGGTCCATGGCTCCGCCTCGGCGTTTCAATCGACAGGATGACATCTTTCTCTTTTTTCAAACTCACTCCATCTCGCTCCCTCCCTCCCTCCCTTTCTGACTTTCTTCCTTTTCTTTTTTTATCTCTTCTTCACCCCCTCTGTCCCTCTCTGCGTTAAAGGGAAAGTATTAAGAGTAACGTTATGCACCCTCCTCTCCTAGCGGACCAAGTCTCCTCCTGTCCCCTCGTCCCGTCCCGTCCTTCTCGCCCCCGCCGCCGCTTGTCGGTAGGCCGACAAATAATGAAACCCGACATTTATGTAATGGATTCAGCCGTTAAATCCTCTACTTTGCTGTGAAGAAAAATCCCCCGGTAGCTGTAAAAAAAAAAACACAGGGTCGTTCGTCCGGACCGTGTGCACTGGACGCGCCAAACTCTTAGCTAAAATTGTGCTGGGGTTAGCCAAAACAAGGCATTATCTCCGAGCATCTTAAAGGTAACGATCCGCGCAAGTGCAACAGCTAGATGGAACTTTTATACATGACTTTCACACCAAAATCCATTCAGAAATATTTGACATTTCATGCTTGTTTGCTTCTCAATAGAGGTTCAAGTGGATTTTTGTCATTTACAAAGATGCACTTGAAATTAGGCTTACACCCATTAATAAAAATGTAAACCTATGTAATGCCAATAGCTTTTGTTCCAAATTTATATGCAAAATCAATAAAAAACAACTATATGTACTGGAACATGAAACATGTCTTTTGTATCTTTAAGATTACTTGGATTAAGCACATCTTTCAGACTGTGAGGCCTCTGATCTACAGTTTTCTGTGGGATTGTGGTGTTATTACAACAAACAGCTGACTTTCACTGACAGGCTCTGTTGACCTGGAGGCTCAGTGTTGTAGGACAAGTCAACTGGACCAAAACATGTTTCATTTGGATTGTGGTACAATAATATATTTTCATCAACATGTCATACTATCCGTCTACATTAACTCCAGTGTCTTTTTAATGTAAATACCACAGAGAGAAATTTGGAGTTCTTGGGCTTTAGATAGGAAACAATGTGCAGTATGGTGGAAGTAGGGGGCGGCTGTCCCCTAGTCAGAAGGTTGGCATTTCAATTGCCAGTCTCCCAAATCCTCCTGTCGAAGTGTGCTTGGGCAAGACACTAAACCCCAAGTCGCTCCCAACAGTTAGAGCAGCGCCTTGCAGAGACAGAGCCACCATCGGTGTGTGTGCGTGTGAGCTGGTGCCACAGATAGCTGTCTCAGTTCTGCACTGGAGACAAATTCCTTGTGTGTGTATGACATACTGAAAATTGGGGAAATACATACAAAAGCTCACTTCAACCATTGTATATACAGTGGGTACGGAAAGTATTCAGACCCCCTTAAATTTTTCACTCTGTGTTATATTACAGCCATATGCTAAAATCATTTGTTCATTTTTTTCCTCATTAATGTACACACAGCACCCCATGTTGACAGAAAAACACAGAATTTTTGACATTTTTGCAGATTTATTAAAAAAGAAAAACTGAAATATCACATGGTCATAAATATTCAGACCCTTTGCTGTGACACTCATATATTTAACTTAGGTGCTGTCCATTTCTTCTGATCATCCCTGAGATGGTTCTACACCTTCATTTGAGTCCAGCTGTGTTTGATTATACTGATTGGACGTGATTAGGAAAGCCACACACCTGTCTATATAAGACCCTACAGCTCACACTGCATGTCAGAGCAAATGAGAATCATGAGGTCAAAGGAACTGCCTGAAGAGCTCACAGACAGAATTGTGGCAAGGCACAGATCTGGCCAAGGTTACAAAAAAAAATTTCTGCTGCACTTAAGGTTCCTAAGAGCACAGTGGCCTCCATAATCCTTAAATGGAAAACGTTTGGGACGACCAGAACCCTTCCTAGAGCTGGCCGTCCGGCCAAACTGAGCTATCGGGGGAGAAGAGCCTTGGTGAGAGAGGTACAGAAGAACCCAAAGATGACTGTGGCTGAGCTCCAGAGATGCAGTCGGGAGATGGGAGAAAGTTGTAGAAAGTCAAAGA